AATAATATATATATATTATTTTTTTTTCAATAAGCCTATTGCATTGGGCAGCCCCTGTAATAATCCAGCCCTGCTGGTTACAGAGTCGATGTACCTAGATCATGCAGCACTCTCACACACGTGGCGACAAACCTATAAAGTGCCTTCACACAATTGATGGATTTCTGAGTTTGTCAAACCGAAGACAAAAATGTCATGAGAGTGTGATTAACCCCTTAAGGACCAAACTTCTGGAATAAAAGGGAATCATGACATGTCACACATGTCATGTGTCCTTAAGGGGTTAAAGGAACACTTAAATGTCAGAAAAAAACATGTATTCTTAACGTTTGAGTGATTTAGGGGCTATTTAGATTCTTGGGGCCCGCCCTGATGGGTAAATAAAGCATTTGTCTCATTACTGATGATTTCAGTTAATACAATGCTTCCTCTTCGAGAAATCATTGGGGGGCTAATGCACATATGCAATTGTCACACTGTGCCAATCAGCATCTCCTCATAGAGATACACTGACTCAAACTCTATCGATCTTGCAAAGATTGCAGAACCTCATACAGGAAGTCCCTCTAGTGGCTGTCCAATGGACTGATTGATTGAAAGCCACTATGTGGCAATGTAAACACTGACTTTTCTTAGTAAATTATTAGCCTGTCCAGGGGACAGGCTATAAGCACCAGAACCGCTTAGAGTCCCTGGAAAGGATGATCGAAAAAGTCTGGAATTCAAACTGACCAATGAGTAAATGCGTCTTTTAAGGGTTGGAGTGCTATAGGTCTTCCATAGAAATCATGTTATCTAAGAAGGGAGATAAAACTAATGATTATGTGCACTTCATTGGAATTATATTTATATGTCTATATTTGTTTTTTTTGTTTTTTAAATATTACAATTACTAATATTATCTTATTTAAAATATTGGAATAAGAAAAACGAAACAAGGAAATATGTACTAACCGTCGGTGCGTGTGCGTCCAGCGAATTTCATCGCCATTTTTCTGTGAATTTCTAGAACATTTCCATTTTAATTGTTAGGCAAGACTTCAGCGACACAATGGAGCCAGAGAGAGCCAGGCAGGGCAGAATTGCTCCCACAGGAAAAGCTTCTTAGAGATGAATTAGTTCAGATTTAGCCAATAATCTTGTTTTACAGAATGCAACAGGAGATGAGTGCAAGTTAAAACCCACACTGTGCGGTGAATATCCAAACAGAGTCTTTTCAGCGCCCGAGGCCTGGCAGCGATCTGATTCTTCTAAATAGAGACATAGATCTCCACAAAATGAGTGGACATTGCCAACATTTGTAAAACTGTAAACAAAAAACACAAAGAACGCGTTAAATAATTCACTGGCACCATCATATGTTCACAACCAACAAAATGCTGATGGTTAGAATGGATTTCCCAAACCCTAGAACTGAATGGGTTAAAACAATCAAGGGGTTAAAACGGCTCGAGAAATGACTGAAGTCCTTTTATCTGCTCTGATTAGCATAATTGCCGTGGGAGATAAAGTGTTGCCAAAAAAACAGTCAGCTTTGAGACACTCACTGAGAATGGAGAAACGTTGAAAGCTGCCTATGGGTGATTTAACTCCGGAGCCATTAATATGTTCGCTCCTGTGTTACACGCTATCGTACCTGTCCCACCCACGGAGTAGACGTGTGCACATATGCGGTTCAGCTGGTTAGAATGAATCAAACTCCTTTTAATCTGTGCCCGAATGGACTGATCCATACACGAGTTGTCCAATGGGTTGGGCAGATTGGTAGATTTAAAGGAATTTGATTCAACTAAACCAACTGAAACATATTTGTACAAAAAGTTTTGTTTTCAGAATTCAGACTCCGCCGTCCCAAATCTGGCATTATCGGAACTGTAATAAAAGTGGAAAATGTATTCCATTTTGTTTTATATGTAAAACCCATTTAGACATGTTCAGTATACGTCAGGAGGCGCAAAAATAACAAAACTACCGAACAGATCGTGTTTAGCGCTAGAGATTGCTCTGTGTTTATACATAACCTCCATAGTATCTAACACACCTTATCCCAGTTACAGACCTCCCAACCATACCGATTTTGGTAGGACATTCACAATTTTAGGTTTGTGTCCGGCTGTCCTGGGTTTGTTCCCAGGGAACTGTACTCAAAAGCTTAGTACGAGCACCACGTTACACACACTCACTCTACGCTAACATACTGAAGAAGTGCTCTCTGCATCCCTCAATGGGCAAGTCTGGATGATTGACAAGTAGCCCGGCATGCATTCAAACCAGTCAGTTCTTCAGGCAGACCCTGCCTTTTCGGTGGCACTAGTGATGCGAGTTGCGTTACTGGTCTGCCCCCTCTTACTCCTCCTACCAGCATCCTAATTCATGGGACGCAGATGTTTATTTTAGGATAACCTGGCCTACAGAATGAGGTCAGACCCATCGATAACGGAGTGTAGGAAACTCTTAGAATATACCTTTCTATATTGGGAGTTTTGGATCAGTTACTGGCTAGGGTAGGATGTGTCATGGGTCTCGTAGCCCAGGCCAGTGAGGAGAAGATTGGAACCTACACATGAAATAGATCTGGTTACCAATCTCTGAGTTTTTTGGTATTGAATCCATTCTTTTAGATTGAATGCTTTCTTCATAATTTGCAAGTAATTCCCAAGTTAAAAGATGTCCAGAAACAGCACTTGACTTCTGAAGACATCTCTATTTTCAGAGGGAAAAAAATAGAGACAACTATAGTGACCGACTCAGCGGCGGCAATGTGTAATGGAGGAATCTAGAACGCGGCCCTTGAAGGCACGTAAAGATTTCCAAGCTTTATACAAAATTACTCTGCCACCATTTCCGATTCAGCAGACCACTGACTCGCCCCAAAACTGCAAACTGGGGATCTGTTCTAAAACTGCAAACTGGGGATCTGCTCTAAAACTATAAACCGGGATTCTGCTCTAAAACTACAAACGGGGGATCTGCTCTAAAACTACAAACGGGATCTGTTCTGAAACTAAAAACTGGGGATCTGTTCTAAAACTGAGAACTGGGGATCTGCTCTAAAACTACAAACCGGGATCTGCTCTAAAACTACAAACTGGGGATCTGCTCTAAAACTGATCCTACGCTGTACTGAAAGCAAAATTCCTGATTTGGCAAAATTCTCCAGTTCGACTATAATGACAGCACGGATATTTTATCATAAATTCTGTGATTCCATTTTCAGTTCATTACTGAATAATCCACTTTGAGAATGGCCCCGGCACTAGATGCAGAGCTTGTTACCAAGGCTGCCAAAATTTGGGAGCAATGTAAACCGCCAGCCACTGTATGAATCGGGAGCACATCCGCTGCAAAGTCAGTAAAATGGAGCAGTTGCCATGGAAACCAATGGAATGTTACTACTGATGATTCTGTGTTTAGAATATTGACCCAGAATTGTCCCTTATACAAAGCCTCAGTGAGCGCCCGTGCCTCCGCTTCCAGTAATAATTTAGTCTGAGCGTATGACAGCAAGGTTAGTGTCTGCATGAACTGATACACAGCATAAGGGTTTTATTCTCCTAATGAGAGCCAAGAACCAAGTGGCTGACAAGTGTTAATTGAGCATTTAATCCCCCGATGACATGAATTAGTTGTTCGCAGTATGTGAGCAATATCCTCTTTATGTGGGGAAATGAATATATGCCGGCTCTGTGCGCGTAATGCAGAGAGACCGAGTTATTTAGATGAGCTGCTGCTGCTTGGAGGGGGCGGGGGGAATTTATATAGACTTCATGTTCTAACTGTACAGCGCTGCTGCATATGTTGTCAGTCAACATGTATCCAATCGTAATACAACGTGCAATATAGAAATGGCACTCTCTTCCATAGTGGCTGACGGGGGGGAGAATTATTCATTAAACAGATCATTTTGGCAATTTGAAAAGCATATTCTGCTGGCCAATACTGCCAGGCTGTAAATATACCGCTCTGAATAAAGTCTGGATATGCCGTAATGCATCTTGAAGCAGTTTAAGCAGTAAGCATTGCAGTCAGGCGGTTTATCTCCTGTGTCACGTTTAGCAAAGGGCTCGCTGATGTTGCTGTACTTTGACACAGAGGTGTGTTTAAACACGTTCTGACCATTTTTGGCTACACAGGCCTAGATGAACTTTGCATCTCCCCCCCACCCCCCATCTTCACCTGTGTGTATCATATCCCCTCCATCCCCAGTCCCTATGTGTGTCTTGCTCCCCCAGCCACTTCATGCGTCTTTCTCCCCCTAGTCCATTTGTGATCTCTTACCAGCCTTACTCCTCCTTGCGTGCCTGCTCACCTCGATTTTGTAGCGTGGCCACATGGACCATGGTTAGAGGTCTTCTTTATCTTCTACCTGGTCTGACAGGAAGTGCTCACGGTCTCCAGCCTAATGTCAGGTGAAGCAGGGGTGCTGAAATGGTAGATCCCGAGATGTTTTGAAACTACTGCTTCCATGATGCTTTGTCATTCTAAAGGCACGCAATGCATCATGGGGGTTGTAGTTCTACAACATCTGGAGATCCACCATTTGGGCACCCCTCTGATAAAGGATATAAAAGATCTGTGGCCGCAGTCCACGATGTCACGCCTCACAGGGTGTCATCCCTATTACTGGTCACCCGGACATTGTGCCGTGCAGGGTGGTGAGCCCTAAGGCCTGTTCTGCCTTATGGTAGTGATTGTCCTGCCATACTGTGTGAACAAATTTTCATATTTATGATTGAAAGCAGTCTTGTAAGATTTTGCACAGTATTTTTGTGTGCGTTCTGTTCTCTTATTCTGTATTTTGCATATAATTCATTACCACAATTAAGAAATGCATGTCCTGGGTGTGCCCCCCTCGGTCTCTGCGTTTCTCTGGCATAAAGCGGCTCATGCATATTAAGTGCAAAGGAGCACTTTCATTTTAATTATATAAACCTAAATTATTTTTATATTAAATTATAAACTCCTGAAATGAATTTACATAAAAAGACAGGGAAAAGGGCATTGAGAAATAAAGTTTTTATTAGCGGAGATTAATACATGTCCAGTGTTCGCCTCAGTACATTCTGTCTTAAAACCGTACAAATTAACATAAAATTAATTAATGTGTGAAAGAGTTGCAGTCCCAGGTACCGAGCCACTCCAAGCATTAACAGGTCTGAGTGAATCAAGTCAGAAATACCCTTGATTACACAGCGTAACATTGCACTGTGAAATGCGAAGGTGTAATGTAATCAGGGATTGTAACATTAAAGAGAATATCTAAAATATATATTTTTTTATTTAGGGAGGCAAGTTCTATGAGCTAGAGATATGAGGGGACCTGACGCGTTTCACCCAGGCCTGGATGGAACTCTGTAAGTTTTTCCTATGAAGCGGAGGGTCTCTATGACACCATGCAATGCCCCATTAATATTGACTTAACAGAATAACATTATCCCATACATGAAGGCACATCCTCCTCCAGAATTGAATGTTTATAATGGAGATATTTTTCCGATTAGCCTCCTTTCCCACCACTATGTAACAAGCCTTACGGTATTCAAGAAAAAAAAAAGTGTTTTCCCTTTAAAAGCCTGTAGAATGGGCTGTGATAACACAATATTGATTTATTTATTTTTTCCTCTCAGTGTGAATTGGGGTTTGGAGATCCAATAATTAATGTAACTTTACCAAATGTGCAAACGGATCTCCTTTCATTCCTGGTGGCAGAGAGTGATGACACTTTGCTTCCGCTTTTTTAGCAAGAGTCGAGAATTTGAAGACAGGCTACTGATGGATAACCCAGGCTATAATAATAATATAAATACAGACATCTCATAAAGCACTGTATTCAGCGTCTGAGACACTGATTGCAGGAGGAACATAGGGACCTTAACCATTTCAGTGCTGCCGCTGGTCATTCTGATGAGAAGGTCTTTACATGGTATATTATGTTAAGGAATCTGCATCCACGCAGAGTAGTTATTTAGACTTGCTACAATTGAATTCCTAAAAATCAAGACTTAATGCTTAAAAAGGCAGGAGAAGAATTATAACCTATAGACATAACTAAAAACCAGCAAGGAAGGGGTTAATGGAAGCCAGCCCTGGTGGGTCTCCCTCTTATAGGAAGTAGCAGCATGTAATTTTAACGATGAGTAAAGAGTTCATTAATAAAGGGGAGGAGCCCAGATATGGAAGAAAATTTAGAGTACTATAATTTGTTTCCATTCTTTACTGGATCCACGGTACCCGATTCTCGGCCTCAGTAACAGGATTCGTTTGGTTCACCGGTAGTGGTTTCAAGGCTGCACTTCACTAATCCCGAAATTGTGCGTTTCACCCAAATAGAAAATATCTGTTCAGTTACTTTGGCTTAAATGTAGCATTTCCTTTGTCAATTGTGCAAACTTCCTGAAGAATTGATGAAGACTGACACTAGATATATATTGTATATAAAGCATGGCTATACCGATGCAGTTACAGCTTTACACATTGTGCCACATGATAACTTTTCCCGTCAGTCATCACGATCAACGGCTGATGGAAATAAATCATAATGACAGTGAGCACTGGTAACTGGGAAAGGTGAATGAAACCAGTATATTCAGCTGTTAGAAATAAAAACTCCGTCATTCCTTGTGAACTGTCCTTTTTTTTAGGTAATCTCACAATGAAAGACAATGTCGTGGCCAAACACCAGGATAATAACACGACGAAGGCTCTATGTTTGGCCAAAGCGTTGTCCTTCATGCTCCCTGTTAATCGAAAATTTCCAAACTGGGATCATAACTGGCTCGGATAGTTTTACCTAAAATGTAAGTTTAATTTTGAATTCACTTTGATATTCCAAGAACAACTTTGTATTATTCTGATGTGCGGTAAACCACGTGGATAGAGTGCAATGTGTGTACAATCTCACAGCGCACCTCCTGCATTATTACCGCAGACATGGACGGCTAAATGGAGAGACAAGCTCACTACGAACACTGCACATTTCCAACTCAGCATCTATAAAATGCGTTTACACATTGTGCAAATGCCCCTTCTAAAAACTGGGTGGAAGGCACAAAAAAAAGGTTACGGGGTATTTGGTTTGGCAACATTGCACAATATTCAATAAAGAAAATCTAAAAAAAAAAAAAATCACCCCTAAAATACCGGCATTTATTCCATTATCGGGATTTACACAGCAAGTGGAAGATGTATCCTACATTCAAGAGATTATTCACTAAACGTGAAATTAAGGTTAAAATAGATCCGCTCTAAGCAAAAACAAATCTGTCTGTTTCCAATGAGTTGTTTAGTGAATAAACCTTTTAGCGCCACGCCAAGTACCCTCTTTTGACTCTTTTGATGCCAGTAATACTAATGGGAGAGCAATCTAATATTCCCCCCGTCCCCCGTGTGAGGGCCGTTTATTGGAGAATACAATTGTTTGGATTTATTTGAAGCCTAGTTTGGGGTCAATGCAATTCTTTTATCCCAATAGGGATTAACAAACTCATTTTGCTCTCGGAACACAAAACATTTAAAACAGACTTTCTTTCTTGCTGCCAAATGAAAGATTTCCTACATTAACAGAAGTAATTCAGTGTTGCTCTTTTCTTTTAAAAATATATATTTTCTTAAGTTAAAATATTTTTTTTTCTTTACATTAAAACATGCTCATTTAAAATCATTTTTCCTGCAAGGCGTTGTCCTCTAGCAAATCATGTGATAACGCAGAGGTGCGGTTCGCTATCAGTTTCAGCAGTGTCACCATCAATCTCTCTCCTGCTTCCGGATGCTGTGGATTTTATACCCTCACTGCATGTAGGGGTACGTCCATTCATTGAGAGGGACATGAGTTTCTTTAATGACCTGAGGTGACGTCCATCGCAGAATATAGTGTCGGCCCCCAGGCTTATCATTGGTACCTGTGTTACAGGGAAACATAGCCAAGCGTGGAATTCTTATTGTTACATATCTTATCAAGGCAGAGCTCATCGCCTTCTGAATGCGAATATATGACCACTGCACTTTATTATTTACTATCAGTCAAAAAATAGTACCACCTATCAGGGAACCAGGCAACAAGATTTGTGCTGCTAAGAAGTGAACTGATGCTCTCTCCAACATCAGCCAACGGTGATATTAAAAATAAAATCAATTTCTAATAACTCTCACACACAGCTCTCAGAAATGTATCCAGCTACTCGTAGAAGATTTTATACTTTTTACAGCTATTGCTAAATATACATTTTCATTGATAAAAAGTTATCTTTAACCCCTTAAGGACATGACATGTGTGACATGTCATGATTCCCTTTTATTCCAGAAGTTTGGTCCTTAAGGGGTTAAACAAAACAAACAAATCTTGTATGTTACATAGTTACATTGCTGAAAAGAGACTTGCGTCCATCAAGTTCAGCCTTCCTCACATTTGTTTTTTGCTGTTGATCCAAAAGAAGGCAAAAAAAAACAGTCTGAAGCACTTCCAATTTTGCAACAAACTAGGAAAAAAATTCCTCCTTGACCCCAGAATGGCAGTCAGATTTATCCTTGGATCAAGCAGTTATTACCCTACATTGAAAGATTATATCCTAGAATATTCTGTTTTTGCAAGTATGCATCTAAGTAGCTGTTAAACTGAAATTGGCTAGAATGATATAGACAGGGCTTTCATTTATTGTACATTACTCACCAGACGCACGTGCACCTCCAAAGGGCTGCTGAGCTACAATTGCCCCAGTTGATTTATCATTAATATAGAAGTTGCCCGCCGCATTCCGCAGGAGCCGAGTCGCCTCATCGATGACATTCCTAAACGTAAAAAAAAAACTGCATGTAAATATATTCTGGAGTCTGTAAACTAATAGCGAACATCTAACAGTTGGTATTTTACGTTAAGGACTAGTCACGCAGATCAAAATAAATAAATAAAAATCCTGCAGTGAAACAGGATAAATCATGAAAACTGCTAATTCTTCCTCAGATACACTTAGCTGATGGAACTGTGTCACATGTGGCAGAAATGTATCAGTTTGTGAGATTAAAGGGGAAAAAAAAATATCGAAATGTAAATGACAATTAAAAAAAATAAAGTGAAACATCACAATAATGCAAAAAAAAATACATTACAGGACCACTATAGGCACCCAGACCACTTCAGCTTAATGAAAAAATGGTCTGGGTGCCATGTCCATCTAGGTTTAACCCTTTTTTCTATAAACATAGCAGTTTCAGAGAAACTGCTATGTTTACATTAGGGTTAATCCAGCCTCTAGTAGCTGTCTCATTGACAGCCGCTAGAGGTGCTTCCGCGCTTCTCACTGTGATTTTCACAGTGAGAATACGCCAGCGTCCATAGGAAAGCATTGTGAATGCTTTCCTATGGACTGGCTGAATGCACGCGCAGCTCTTGCCGCGCATGCGCATTCAGCCGAAGAGGAGGAGAGCTCCCCGCCCGGCACTGGAGAAAGAGGTAAGTTTAACCCCTTCCACCCCCCAGAGCCCGGCAGGAGGGGGACCCTGAGGGTGGGGGCACCCTCAGGGCACCATAATGCCAGGAAAACAAGTATGTTTTCCTGGCACTATAGTGGTCCTTTAAGTGTTAGTGAAAGGTAGATATAGGTGTTCGTGGCGGTTTCTTTTTACATCACAAACTTTGCGCTAATTCTGTTATGGTGCTTAGAGGAACCGTTTAAGGGTGAGTGGATCTATGGATTTTGTGTGTTAGAATATAGCAACAGGTAACGGTGCTCACTGAAGGGAACGTGGATTAGGTTATTCAATAAACCAGAAAATATCTGGAATAATAATTTTACACTAGAAATGCTGCTCCATAATTACAATCTATTCTCTGCACAGTTTGCTCGCTCTGCATTCCCAACGTACAGAGCATATTGGATGTTCAATACTGAAACTATGCCCATTATAAATGAATTACTTTCCGTAATGAAAAGAAAACGGTAAAGACAAGCAATCAGTACTTACTTATCTTGTGCAAACACTGCCCCCGTGAGGCTGTACGGGGAAGTAGAGTCTATTAAATGTAGGATCTCTCTGTACTGGTTTTCTGGGTAGACATAGACAGCTAAAACGGGTCCGAATATTTCCTGTAGCATAGAAACAGAGGTAAAATGTGCATCATGCAATGATTGGAAATTGAGTTTCAAAAAAAAAAAAAAAAATATTAAGTGTTTTAGCGACCCTATAGATCAGAGGCAAAAAAAGTCCCTAAATATATCACTCCCTCTATATAACAACAATAGTGGTGTATTGCACAGTTACATTCACTCTATATAACAGTATCAGACCCCCTGTACCTGGTACTCCGATCCCCTATACCTGGTACTCCGATCCCCTATACCTGGTTCTCCGATCCCTTATACCTGGTTCTCCGATCCCTTATACCTGGTACTCCGATCCCCTGCACGCAGTACTTTAATCCCCAATACATAGTACTCTATCAGGGGGTTCCGCATGCTATACATTTACCTCGGACATGATTTTCTCCTTCGGATCTTTGCTTTCAATAATTGTCGGTTCTATGAAGTACCCCAATTTATCATCGCACTTTCCGCCAGCGAGGATGGTGAGACTAGGAGATGTCTCTGCATGCTTTATCCAGCCCTGTATCCGTCTGAACGCCTAATGAAAACAAAGCCTTGTGTCAGAGCTTCCTAGCGGGAGTTTATTCTCCAATACATCGGTTCTTCTGACCTGTCTATTTTATTGCCTTACAGGCAGCGGCAGAATTTTAGTGTTTTCTATAACCTCCATTTCAATTGGAATATATATTATGTAACCTCCATAGTAACTGCTTGGAAAATGCAATATGAGCTCAATTATGACCGACACAGCTCAGGAGCTGAACTCTGAGGAATCTCGCCATTCATTCCTATAACTGCAACATTTAAACTATCACAAATTCAGTTATACACTTTAACTAAGCAGTTTTAGATTAATAAAACCTATTTATTCTAACCTTAAATTTGGTGAATGTTTAGCTATTTCAATGACAATAAACAAAGATGCAAATAATCTTTTGTCATATCTTGCCACCTTTTCAAAATCTAGGGGTCCATTTTTAGGCTGTTGCTGACTCGTCCTTACCTTTTCATCGATAACGGCAGAAAAGAAGGTGCTGAAATCCTCTGCAGGCTGAGAATTAAAGACAGAATCCAGATGAGTGGATCAGAATCAAACATTTCATTAATACGTTGTTCAAAGCTCCTAACGGCACGTCAGGGATCAAAAGACAGAGCAGGAACATTTGTTAAATCCCAGCACAGCCTCTGCTTCTAGAGTTACACGTCCTATCTGACATGCAAGGGGTAGTTCTATTCAATTAACGTATCAAGTTAATGGCAACTTACAAGAAATTCTTCCTGCGTTTCTTACTAGCTGATTTAAAAAAAAAATTTTTTAGTCCTTGACAGAAGATGGGAGTATGGTCGGTTCAGCAGGAATTAGCAGTGGGCTAATACACTTTCTAATCCCATCAGACTCCTGCTGAGCTCAGGAAAAAAGCGAGAGAAGCGGTTGAAATGTGGCAATCTGCACTCACGTTTCCCACTTTGATCTTGCGGTGTTCCTCCAGCAGTCTGCCTTTGATCTCAGGCCACAGCGAGTCAGGAACATAGAGACGAGAGCAGGCCGAACACTTCTGTCCGCCATACTCAAAGGCTGAACGGATTGCGCCATTCACAGTACTTTTAATGTCGGCCGATTTGTGCACAAAGTGGAAATTTTTGCCGCCGCATTCTGTAAAAGAAATAAATGAAATGATGTAACATTACTGTCAGAAGGAGGTGCATAGTGTGGCACAGAATGTGAGACATGTCAAATAATAACACTGGTTAATAGGGGGAGATGTTGTCTCCTTAATCTTCAGCCGTACAACAATGTACCATTAATTTAAAATAATTTAAAGGTTGAGAACAGGCCAAACAGTACCCACCCTAAATAAAAGTCCCTAACACCGCAAAACACCAAACATAAGGTTAATTCAAAACCAACTTATAATATTTAGGCTGAAAGATCACAGTTCAAAGATTGAGCAAATTGGGCTATTTCTGACATAATTTTTTTAGATAAGACATTTGAACAAAGTTAAATACGCCACCTCAAAATATTAAAGGCGCGACAACCTCCCCTACTGTACAATATAAAATGATACATATAAACAAACTCTTAAATCCTACAGTTAAACAGCAATCACCAATTTCAATCCTAAAACCAATTCACAAAAAAGGAATAATGTTCTTATCTCCATTCTTAAATTATATCGTCCGTCTCCTTTGGCCATTAATCTGCATGTTTTCCAGCTGTACTGTCCCCTAACCACAGACTGTGACAAGCAATTTATATTGCGTAATAGTCGCCAGTCTTGGGGTGTTTGCATTTTAAATATCTATATACAGTACAAGGAAGGGGTTCTCACCTCCTGATAGACGTGGGAATGTCCGGTAGCGATCTAGATTTTCTCCCACCTGTTTCCAGAGGTTTTTAAAGGTTCTAGGTTCAGAAAGTAATGTGTTAGTAACTGGTATTGCAGTAACAGGCAGACTGGATTTATTAAACCGTGAACTGAAACCAAACTGTAATAACATGCGACTACACCCAAATTTTCTATATCAACTGTTTGGGCCTAAATAGTGCAATTCTGGTTTATGCAATATATAATTTATTTAAAAATGAATCTTTTTTATATCTATTCTTTCACAGGACTGAAACCACCTGAACGTTTCTGTTTTGGCAGCTTTGCCTTCACCTGAATCAACTTGACTGAACAACTGGATTTGGAGAATAAAATTAAAGGTACACTCCAGATCCCTAAATCAGTTTTTCTTGCTGAGGTGCTTTATATGTGAAGAGTGTATTATTTTTTGAATTTTAAAAAAAGTCCAGCTTTTAAATTAAACTTTTATAAATTAACCTTCTTCCCCTCCCTCCCGGCTGTCAGACACCCAGTCCTGCTACTTCCTGGATGTTAAGCTTGTTTGCGCTAAACTCAAGAGGCAGCAATTGCAAAGACGTCTCATTGAGCTGCATTGGGAAGTCTGTGATTGGACAGGCACAGAAAGTCTGGGCGGGGTTAGAAAGAGATATACCCCCAATGTAAAAATGCATAATTAAAGGCATGCATGCTTTCCCTTAGAATATATAATACGTGTAATCAATGAGATGGATGAAGTGCCAGATAAAGCTGTGTGTAGAATTTCAGGCATAGAAGGGGCGATTCCTTTGTCTGTATTTAGCAGGAAGATGGTTGTTGTGCCGCTCCGCAGCATGGCGCCTGGCTGCAGCCATTTTGGGGTACTTACGGCACGCTGCCAGTGAAGTTAATTCCACAGAGGTGTTCTGAAGTGGTAATGGTGTTTCCAAAAACAGGACCATCAGCAGGGACAAACTGTATGATATTGGGGGGCAGGCCGGCGTCCAGTAAAACTTTATATACAGCGTAACTCGACAATATGGCAGTATCACTGGGCTTCCACAAAACCACGTTTCCCTAAAATAGGAGGAAGAAATAAACAGGAATTCCATCACAAAACATCAAAACTGGAAGTTCTATAGAAAGAGTAATTCCGGGGCAGCATTCTCAATGAGGAGCAATCAGCAGAAACATTTCCATGGCACCTGCTCCACGTTTTGAACTTTGCCCAATATTTCGCAGAGGAGTAGACAAGAATCTTGCACGCATACTAAAGCTATTATAGCACCTTTTTACAGTGAAACCGGTTATCTTCATACCTGTGAGGACCAGGTGTAATTACAGAATTGCATGACACAGGGCGGGAGGGAGGTGATGTGTTGCACCTGCAGGTACACTGTGTCTCTCATAGTCAGCATCTTTAACGGAGTGACAGCTCAGCTCACCACGCACTTCAAAGAGAACACCTGAGTTTAATTACTAGCTAGCGTTTATCCTGAGCGGCAGCCTATACTTATCTTCTGCGGAAGGGATTTTCTTCTTATGAAAGAATTGCAAAAACATGACAGAGATTAAAAATGGATAAAATGGGTACAAATAACAGGACATTGTGTTGGAATTAGAGAACACAATATGAAGTAGCGCACTCTGCTATCCATCCAGAGAGAGAGTGGGTGCCATACCACAGGGTAACCGGGGATTACAGGCAGAGACTGGCACAGTCTAACACTCGTTTGGTTTGGAGCAGATCTTTATTTTTAACTTGATAGGTGTTTTAAGTGACTCACATTCTTTTTTTTTTAAATGTTACAAACGTTCCATAGTTGATGGAGACATTTTTCTACCAGCTGCAAAGCATCATGGGAGATGTAGTTCCCAGTTTCTACGGTAGTGACTGTGCTGCTTACTCCTTCTGTTGTTTTTTTTCTCTTTAAAGGAACATTGTCACTTACACATTGTTGCAATTTGTGCATTATATATATATACATTTACACCTACAGAACCTACACTAAATGAAATCTAAATATTATTATGGCTAATTCTTAATACTGAATAATATAAATATACACTTGTTTTTCTTACTTGTTAATTCATGCTTTCCTTTCTCCCCATTTCTCTATCCTAACCCATCCCTCTCACATACTTTACCAAAATCTCCTCCCAGTACGATTGCTTCTCACCCCTTTGCTGTGTCAGTACACGCTGTGTCTGCTGGGAGCGAGGCTTGGCGCACACTGTGTTCTGATCTCAGACTTGTAACACACCATGCAGACAGATTTACTAAATAAATAAACTTGTATCGTGATAGGAAAGGATTAACTCTTACCATCAGTGCTGGAGCTCCAGCCAGGTTACCTCCGATGGCCGTAAAGTTAAACGGTGAAACCGCGGCTACAAAACCCTGGGAATGATAAAGGTTAAAAGTCATGCGCGTGTCTGAGTGAAGGTGAAAAGAAATATTGCAGAGTAGGAGAGAGTTTAATGCAATCTTATATTATACGCTCTCCACACTGGCCCTAGTTAAAGGGACACTATAGTCATCAGAACCAACTACAGCTTAATGACAGTATACAGCTTAATGTACGGTATACAGCTTAATGTATAGTATGTAGGGATCGACCGATATTGATTTTTTTTAGAGCCGATACCAATAATCTGTGAACTTTCAGGCCGATAACTTGCCGATATTCTGTACATTTACCATTTTGAAAAAAATAAACTATTTCTAAAGGTAAATGCACAAAATATACATGCCACATGTAGTGCATGCAGTGTGTTTAGACAGAGGAGCTGTGTGTGTTTGTGTGTAGTGGATGCAGTGTGTATTTGTGTAGTGTGTATATAATAAATGCAGAGTGTGTTTGTGTAGTGTGTATTTTGAATGCAGAGTGTGTGTATAGTGATTGCAGTGTGTGTAGTGTGCATAAAGTGAATGCAGTGTGTGTGTGTAGTGTGTAGATAATGAATGCAAAGTGTCTAGTGTGTGTTTGTGTAGTGTGTGTATATAATGAATGCAGAGTGTGTGTTTGTTTAGTGTGTGTGTGTATATAGTGATTGCAGTGTGTGTATAGTGAATGCAGTGTATTTGTGTAGTGTGTGTATAGTGAATGCAGTGTGTTTGTGTAGTGTGTGTTTATAATGCAAAGTGTGTGTATAGTGATTGCAGTGTGTGTAGTGTGCATAAAGTGAATGCAGTGTGTGTGTGCAGTGTGTAGATAATGAATGCAAAGTGTCTAGTGTGTGTTTGTGTAGTGTGTGTATATAATGAATGCAGAGTGTGTGTTTGTTTAGTGTGTGTGTGTATATAGTGATTGCAGTGTGTGTATAGTGAATGCAGTGTATTTGTGTAGTGTGTGTATAGTGAATGCAGTGTGTTTGTGTAGTGTGTGTTTATAATGCAAAGTGTGTGTATAGTGATTGCAGTGTGTGTAGTGTGCATAAAGTGAATGCAGTGTGTGTGTGCAGTGTGTAGATAATGAATGCAAAGTGTCTAGTGTGTGTTTGTGTAGTGTGTGTATATAATGAATGCAGAGTGTGTGTTTGTTTAGTGTGTGTGTGTATATAGTGATTGCAGTGTGTGTGTATAGTGAATGCAGTGTATTTGTGTAGTTTGTGTATAGTGAATGCAGTGTGTTTGTGTAGTGTGTGTTTATAATGCAAAGTGTGTGTGTGTTTCTGTAGGTATGTAATTTGTGTAAAATGGGAGGGAAGGGGAGGCATTTTTTATATAATTTTTTTTAAATATTAATTTTTTTGTATTTTTTCCCCCCTCCCTGCTTCTTACTTGGCCAGGGAGGGGGGGGAAGCATTCCCTGGTGGTCCAGTGGCATGGACTGTGCAGTGGGGGCCTGCAGCTAGCTCTTCCTAACCTTCCCAGCAGCTCCCAAGTGTAAATCTTGGGCCAGCGTGCTGCGCGGCGTTGCCATGGTAACCCTTGGCAACGCTCTGACGGCCGCGGGACTTGCGAGATTTACACTGGGAAGCTGAAGGGAGCTGCTGGGAAGGTAAGTAAGTGCTTGCTGGGCCTCCCAGGGCTTATTATGGGCCCGGCGGTCCTGGTATGTATTATCGGCAATATCGGTATCTCTATTTTCCGAAAATACCGAATATCGGCCAGACCGATAATCGGTCGATCCCTAATAGTATGCAGCTAATCCTGGTATGTATTATCGGCAATATCGGTATCTCTATTTTCCGAAAATACCGAATATCGGCCAGACCGATAATCGGTCGATCCCTAATAGTATGCAGCTAATGTACACCTTAATGTATAGTATATAGCTTAAAGTACGGTATACAGTTTAACATACAGTATACAGCTTAAAGGGACACTATAGTCACCTGATAAACTTAATGAGGTTGTTCAGGTGAGAACAATAGCTCCCTACAGCCTTTTCATGTAAACTTTCTCTGAAAATAAAGTGTTTACATTATAACCTAGGAACACCTACAGTGGCAGTCACTCAGACGGCCACAAGAGGGACTTCCGAGTCAAGTCCTGCCTGATGCACAGGACTCACATTCGACGTCTTCAAGCTTAGCTTAGATCTGACAGGAGGGGCCATGGACGTAAACAGCCACATCAGCACTATGGTGTCAGGAATACATGTTTGTATTCCTGACATGTTCCTTTAAGAAGTCACGTTCCTCACACTAATCTCAAACACATTCTAGTTTCTTGATGCCAATCTACACAGACGTTCAGCTGTGATTTTACCGCCGCTTATCTCACATCCATCTTGTGTTCCTGGATACTCAGTGCTGCCCTGCACAATACAGCTTTAAAATGCAGGCCGAAAAGAAGTCAGACAACTAATCATTCAGGAATCCAGGGGCATATACAATCTACAGGGATCATTAGCCCTGGCAAGTGCCCTATGTGCCCTGGACTCCCACTGCCTGTGATGATGGCTAGCAACTTACTGTAACAGCGGCTGTCAGCAGATAATTCACTCTTATCGACGTTTAAATCCTCAACTCCATCATTATAATTTTATGCCAGACTGCTCACAATGTGTAGCTAAGGAATGAGCTCCATGTTATTGGTTTCTGACTATCATGGAGGTAAAAGTCCAGAAATGTGAGTTCCAGGGGAGGCTGCAATCACACGCCAGGAACTGTGGGGTAACGCCAGAGTAATTGGGGGCGGCTGTACGTGCTGCGTCTCTCTGTTCACTGGGGTTACATTTTTTGCAGTGGCTAGTGACTTTTAGACCTAGCTAGTAGTGTTGAACATGAGACTCCACATACTGCACAGCCACCATTTTCTAAATGATGACGTACAGTTGATGTCGCTGTAGTTATAGGAACTATGAAGACGCTGAATTCAGTAATGCTGTGAATTTATTTTTCGGATCACAGGGCATCTGGCATCTCATACCTCCAAGCCGCGGTAAACCAACGTGTTGGTGCTGACAGGCACGCTGATGGGCTGCTCGTGTTGGAGATCCAGCGAATACTTGGCATTGAATCGGAAGAAGTCAATTAACTCAGCAGCAGCATCGATTTCAGCCTGAACAACTGTCTTCCCCTAAAATAAAATACAGGGAGTTAAGTAAGGGGTGAAAGGGTCTGTTTATCAGGGTGGGAAAGCGTCTGTGGAAGATGGGGTGAAAGGGTCTGTTTATCAGGGTGGGAAGGTGTCTTGGAGCAGAGGGGTGACGGGATTCGTTTATCAGGGTGGGAAGGCGTCTGGGGCAGAGGGGGTGAAGGGGTCTGTATCAGGGTGGGAAAGTGTCTGGGGCAGAGGGGGTGAAGGGGTCTGTATCAGGGTGGGAAAGTGTCTGGGGCAGAGGGGGTCTGTTCATCAGGGTGGGAAGGCGTCTGGGGCAGAGGGGATCTGTATCAGGGTGGGAAGGCGTCTCGGGGCAGAGGAGGTAACTGAGTCTGTTTATAAGGGTGGGAAGGCATGTGGGGGAAGAGTGGGTGAAAGGGTCTGTTTATCAGGGTAGGAAGGTGTCTTGGAGCAGAGGGGTAATGGGATTCGTTTATCAGGGTGGGAAGGCGTCTGGGGCAGAGGGGGTGAAGGGGTCTGTATCAGGGTGGGAAAGTGTCTGGGGCAGAGGGGGTCTGTTCATCAGGGTGGGAAGGCGTCTGGGGCAGAGGGGATCTGTATCAGGGTGGGAAGGCGTCTCGGGGCAGAGGAGGTAACTGAGTCTGTTTATAAGGGTGGGAAGGCATGTGGGGGAAGAGTGGGTGAAAGGGTCTGTTTATCAGGGTAGGAAGGTGTCTTGGAGCAGAGGGGTAACGGGATTCGTTTATCAGGGTGGGAAGGCGTCTGGGGCAGAGGGGGTGAAGGGGTCTGTATCAGGGTGGGAAAGTGTCTGGGGCAGAGGGGGTCTGTTCATCAGGGTGGGAAGGCGTCTGGGGCAGAGGGGATCTGTATCAGGGTGGGAAGGCGTCTCGGGCAGAGGAGGTAACTGAGTCTGTTTATAAGGGTGGGAAGGCATGTGGGGGAAGAGTGGGTGAAAGGGTCTGTTTATCAGGGTGGGAAGGAGTCTGGGGGCAGAGGGTACTGGATTCGCTTATCAGGTGGGAAGGCTGCCTGGGGCAGAGGGGGCAGCTGGGGCCTGTACTCAGGGTGGGAAAGCGTCTGGGGCAGAGGGGGTCTGTTCATCAGGGTGGAAGGGCCGCCTGGGGCAGAGGACTCCAGTGACCAGGGGCGGGAAGCCATGCCCGGGCAGGAGGAGGCACCGAGAGTCTGTTTATAAGGGTGGGAAGGCATGTGGGGAAGAGGGCGGAAAGGGTCTGTTTATCAGGGTAGGAAGGCGTCTTGGAGCAGAGGGTAACGGGACTAAGCGCATCAGGGTGGGAGGGCGTCTGGGGCAGAGGGGGTGAAGGGGTCTGTATCAGGGTGGGAAAGTGTCTGGGGCAGAGGGGGTCTGTTCATCAGGGTGGGAAGGCGTCTGGGGCAGAGGGGATCTGTATCAGGGTGGGAAGGCGTCTCGGGCAGAGGAGGTAACTGAGTCTGTTTATAAGGGTGGGAAGGCATGTGGGGGAAGAGTGGGTGAAAGGGTCTGTTTATCAGGGTGGGAAGGAGTCTGGGGGCATAGGGGGTGACGGAGTCTTTATCAGGGTGGGTAGGTGTCTGGGGGCATAAGGGGTGACGGAGTCTGTTTATCAGGGTGGGAAGGTGTCTGGGGGCATAGGGGGTGACGGAGTCTGTTTATCAGGGTGGGAAGGTGTCTGGGGGCACAGGTGGTGATGGAGTCTGTTTATCAGGGTGGGAAGGCGTCTGGGCAGAAGGGGTCTGTCTATCAGGGTGGGAAGGCATGTGCGGGAAGAGTGGGTGAAAGGGTCTGGTTATCAGGGGGGGAAGGCGACTGGGGGTAGAGGGGCTGACGGGGTCTGTTTATCAGGGTGGGAAGGAGTCTGGGCAGAGGGGGTGAAAGGGTTTGTTTATCAGGGTGGGAAGGCGTCTGGGGGCAGAGGGGCTGACGGGGTCTGTTTATCAGGGTGGGAAGGCGTTTGGGGGCAGAGGGGGTGACGGGATCTGTTTATCAGGGTGGGAAGGCATCTGGGGGCAGAAGGGGTGATGGGGTCTGTTTATCAGGGTGGGAAGGAGTCTGGGCAGAGCGGGTGACGGGGTCTGTTTATCAGGGTGGGAAGGCATCTGAGGGGCAGAGGGGGTCTGTTTATCAGGGTAGGAAGGAGTCTGGGCAGAGGGGGTGACGGGGTCTGTTTATCAGGGTGGGAAGGAGTCTGGGCAGAGGAGGTGACGGGGTCTGTTTATCAGGGTGGGAAGGAGTCTGGGCAGAGGGGGTCTGTAATATGAGTGTAATATTGGAAATGTCATGTAAACCAGTAATATATAAAACAATAATGGAACAATATAAATATATAGTGATTGTATGGACATCAGGGCACCTTGTTCCCATTTAATTTGTTTGGCTCAATTTATTTTTAACATATTGCCTTTAGTTTTTTATTTAATGCAGAACACATTTGGAAATCATTCAGTACCTTTCTGATTAACTGAGCTATTTTGGCTCAATTAAAAGCCAATTCAGCAACATTTAGACAGGTTTACATTTGGGGCTATTTAAATGATAAATTAAATTTGCCTCTGAAATGTCTCAGATTGCTGCCACTCTAACATTAGCAGCAAACTGTCTGATCCTGGTTAATTAGCAGCAAACTGTCTGATCCTGGTTAATTAGCAGCAAACTGACTGATCCTGGTTAATTAGCAGCAAACTGTCTGATCCTGGTTAATTAGCAGCAAACTGACTGATCCTGGTTAATTGCCCCAGGACTGAGCACCTGTTTCTGGGAGGACGATCCTGCCCCTAACCTGGTTAGTAAATACTGGCTGATAATCTGGGTAGAATCACAATGTGGGCTGTTAATGATCTGGGAGTGAGCTCTGCTTGTACCTGCAATGAGGGGCTGGGGGTGTCAGCATGCAGGTAAGATATCTGATGGCATTTGTTTGTAATGTGTCTTCCCTGTGGCAAAACCTATTTAGATTAAATCTGCTGTAAAACAGACTCCCTAGCCAAACTCTACAGCCAAATACACAGGAGCAGCTTCCTTTTCATCTATAAATGGTTAATGCCACAAACCTATTTATAGACATTTTATATAAAACTATGCAGATTTCCAAAACAAAAAGTGGCTTGTAGTCTTTATTTAAAGAATACATTTTAATAGAGATCATGAATAAAGCTGGTTTGGTCACCATAATAGCAATAAGCTATCCAGCACTTAAATAGCAATAAGCTATCCAGTGATTACAGAAAGTGGCCACTAGATGGCGCTGTGTATATGCAGTTCCCACGTACTCTGTAAGGATGTCCAATATTTTACCAGACCATTACTTCTATATACTGAGGGGCAATGCATGAAAGGTGCTGTCAGTAACTGCATTCAAATTTTATTGGGAGAGAAATAAACTGTTAAAGCTGATTAAAGAGTTTTAAATAAACACTCAGGATACAATAACTTCAAACCTGTATTCCTAGCCCTATTGCCCCCCCCCTCCCCCCCACCACCGTAGAGGTTAATAAACCCTTACTGTACTTACCTGATTCCAGCACCAGTCTCCCTCAGTGCTAAGCTGGGGCTCCATCCCTTTTGACGTCATATAATGGGGGGTGCTAATGTGCATGCGCGGCACATTCGACCTCCCTTATAGGGACGCATTGCAGCATGATGCTGAATGTCCTCCGGCAGAGCGTGCGAATGTCCAGCGTCAGGCGACCAAAAGTCATCCAGTAAACAAGCTGTCTGACTGCCACTAGAGGCAGTCTTATCTCTGCAATTATCTTTGTAGGGATAAGAGGACAGGTCACTGCACCCAGACTACATCAATGAGCTGAAGTGGTCTGGGTGCCTACAGTATCCCTCTAAGGATGCTTGTGTTGGGCGGTAGCATGTTTATTTTGGTAAATATGTAATGTATAAAAATGGAGTGGAGCAGTCACTATTGAGACCAGTCGGCTAATAACTTCACTTTGTCCCTGAAATTTGTCGCCTCCTTTGGCGGAATTAACCATAAAAAAAGTGTGTGTGTGTGTGTGTGGTGGGTTTTATTTATTTATTTTTAAACCGGTTTTATAAATGTCACAGCTGTAAGAACACTAGAAGAACATTTTCCAGTTAACCTCATTATAGCGAAAGTAACCAATGCATGCGATATGAACCAGTTGACGGCTCCTCAATCAAAATGCAATTTTCACTAATGTGTGTGCATAAAAGAGGGCATTCTTTGCCTGCATACAGAAAAATGTACAATGCATCACTTTGTAATTTTTATTTATTTTATATATTTTCCTCTTACTCTTAGACTAAGCTGTATTTACATGCCACTGCAGGACTGTTATTTTATCAAGATTAAATGTCCTCAGGATCTATGGAGAGACGTACCTGTCCGACCATGGTTTTGGCTAAAATCTCAGCTCTTTGAGGGCCACTCAACAGATCTGCGGCTTTAAAGAAAATTTGAGCTCTGTCTTCTGCTGGTCTAAGGTCCCACTCTTTGCGTGCAGAGAGAGCTGAATCAATGGCCTTATTAAGCAGATCCTGTAACAAAACACACACTTAACACCTCTGGTGCAGCAATAAAGAACTCAGGATATATAACTCTACCTCCGTTTTGGAATTGAAGAATGCTCAGGATGTGTAGAAGGATAAAACAGTAAAGGAATTGAAACCTAGAATGTGACGGCAGATAAGAACCATTTGGCCTAATTTTCTAAATACTTTAATTAGTCCCTGGCATTATCTTATAGTTAGGATAGCCTTATGCCTATCCCACGCATGCTTAAACTCCTTTACTGTGTTAACCTCTACCACGTCAGCTGGAAGGCTATTCCATGCATCCACTACCCTCTCAGTAAAGTAATACTTCCTGATATTATTTTTAAACCTTTTGTCCCTCTAATTTAAGACACTGTCCTCTTGTAGTGGTAGTTTTTCTTCTTTTAAATAGTCTCCTCCTTTATGTATTTAAATGTTTCTATCCTATCCCCCCTGTCTCGTCTTTCCTCCAAGCTATACATGTTAAGATTCTTTAACCTTTCCTGGTAAGTTTTATCCCGCAATCCATGAACCAGTTTAGTAGCCTTTCTCTGAACCCTCTCTAAGGTATCAATAGACTTCTGAAGATACGGTCTCCAGTACTGTGTACAATACTCCAAGTGAGGTCTCACCAGTGTTCTGTACAATGGCATGAGCACCTCACTCTTTCTACTGCTAATACCTCTCCCTATACAACCAAGCATTCTGCTAGCATTTCCTGCTGCTCTATTACATTGTCTGCCTACCTTTAAGTCATCAGAAATAATCACCCCTAAATCCCTTTCCTCTTATGTTGAGGTTAGGACTATCAAATATTCTGTACTCTGCCCTTGGGTTTTTACGTCCAAGATGCATTATCTTGCACTTATCCACATTAAATGTCAGTTGCCACAATTCTGACCATTTTTCTAGTTTACCTAAATCATTTGTCATTTGGCTTATCCCTCCTGGAACATCAACCCTGTTACATATCTTAGTATCATCAGCAAAAAGACATACCTTACCATCAAGACCTTCTGCAATATCACTAATAAAAATATTAAAGAGAATGGGTCCAAGTACAGATCCCTGAGTTACCCCACTGGTGACAAGTCCAAGCTTCGAATATATTCCATTAACTACAACCCTCTGTTGCCTGTTACTCAGCCACTGCCTTACCCATTCAACAATATTGGAATCCAAACTTAAAGATTGCAGTTAATTGATAAATGCAATGTCTACCGCACCACCCTGATCTATAATTTTAGTTACCCAATCAAAAAAAAAAAAAATCAATACGGTTAGTTTGGCATGATCTCCCTGAGTAAACCCATGTTGTCTCTGATCTTGAAATCCATTTGATTTTTAAATGTTCAACAATCCTATCCTTTAACATGGTTTCCATCACTTTCCCCACTACTGCAGAAAGACTTTTTGGCCTATAGTTGCCTGACTCCTCACTATTACTTTTCTTGTGAATGGGCACAACATTTGCCAATTTCCAATTTTCTTGGACTACTCCCGTTAATGATGGTTGAAGGGACACTGTAGGCACCCAGACCACTTCAGCCCATGAAAGCGGTCCGGGTGCCAACTCCCATCACCCTTAACATGTCATTATTGCAGTTTATAAAAACTGCAATAATTACCTTGCAGGGTTAAGTCCTTATCAGACAGCCACTAGAGGGACTTCTGGGTTCTTAGACGACTTCTGGTAGTTTAAACCAGTGTTCCCCAACCCAGTCCTCGTGGACCACCACCAGTCCAGGATTTATGTATTTCTCTGTTTTATTCCAATGGAGATACTGACAAAACCTGGACTGTTGGTGGTCTATGAGGTCTGGGTTGGGGTACAATAAGGACCTCTAGCTTTGCCAGAATCCCCATAGGAAAGAATTTAATGCTTTTCTATGGGGAGATCCTAATACAAGAGCGGCCATTGCCACGCATTACACACTAGGTCTCCCCTGACGGTGGGGGAGGAGCGTGGGCGGGGCAGAGTCAGCGCCGAGGGACATCGGCGCTGGATCAGGGCAAGGGACTGAAGGGGTTATTAACCTAATTCAGTTCTGCGGGAGGGGGCCTTGACAGAAGAGGAAGCTACAGTGCCTGGAAAATTTTGTTTTCCTGGCACTATAGTTTCCCTTTAAATAAATCTGTTAATGGTTTTGCTAGTCTGCCACTAAGCTCTTAATAACTTTGGGTGCATTCCATCCGGTCCCATTGACTTATTTGTCTTTACTTTTGACAGTTGAAATAGAACCTCTTCCTCTGTAAACTCACGTGTAATAAATGACTAATTTATCCTTTTTTCCTAACTGAGGCCCCTTTCCTTCATTTTCATCTGTAAATACTGAACAAAAATATTCATTGAGGCAGTCAGCTAGACCTGGCATGATCTCCCTGAAGTAAACCCATGTTGTGTCTGATCTTGAAATCCATATGTTTTTAGATGTTTATCAATCCTATCCTTTAACATGGTTTCCATCACTTTCCCCACTACTGAAGTAAGGCTTACTGGCCTATAGTTGCCCGACTCCTCCCTATTACCTTTCTTGTGAATGGGCACAACATTCGCTAACTTCCAATCTTCTGGGAATACTCCTGTTAACAATGATTGGTTAAATAAATCTGTTAATGGTTTTGCTAGTACACCACTAAGCTCTTTTAATAACTTTGGGTGCATTCCATCCGGTCCCATTGACTTATTTGTCTTTACTTTTGACAGTTGAAATAGAACCTCTTCCTCTGTAAACTCACGTGTAATAGAATGCTCAGGATGTGTATAAGGCTAAGGCAGTAAAGGAATTGTAATTTCATGAAATTATATAAATTACTCACCTCATCTGCGTAACAATATTTGGCTACTTTGTGCGAGTGCTTGAATGGCTGAAATGCAAAGAACAATAAATCATCTGATTCCATTTAAAGACCGGGTCGCAGACAGTGAATGACAGACAGATGTTAAAATAAAAACCTGATCTGATTCTTAATGAGATTAGTTATGTTACTGCTGTCATTTCTATGGCATTAACCCTTAAAGTCCATTCTCTATCACGCTTACCTTTAGTGCACTTAGGGATATTCAACATTAACCCTTGCAGCCCCTGCAGTGTGTGCAGAAACTGACCTCCCTGGTTATATCCACATACTTAATAACCAAACACTGGCTTCTGGATTTGACTGATTTTTTATTTTATTTTTTTTTACTTTTATTGCAAAATACGGTTCCCCCTCTTTTTGCTTTTTCATTTCTTTGTCTACACCGATTTAGGAGGAGGGATAAAGGGATTACACCTGAATTTAAGCAGATGGCTGTGCATCCTTATGATGGCAGACTGCGTGTTCCATGCTAGGGGGAGAGTAACTGTTAACCCACCACAATGAGCCGGTGTCTCTGAGGGCAGCCAGTGATATTACATCTTGTAAACCATATTCCTGACCCTCTAAACTCCACAGGGGACACACAAAGCAAATCCTACAGCAGATACCATGGAAACCAACAGAATGTTCTGCCGACTGCGCCACTTTTAGTAAATTAAACCAGCGTTCTTTGTAGAACCCCAAAATCTCACCGAGACTTGGAATCTCACGTCCTTCGTCCACACTGCTTCTCCTCCTACAACGCATGGGATTTCTTCCATCTTGTCTTTAAGTTCATGCAGCGCCTGACACAAAAAACATAAAGCCCCAATTCTGGTCTCAGTAGCGGAATACAAAATAATTTCACATCTCCAACCATTTACACTGCTACTACTTAAAGGGACAGTCCAGCTCTCACTGCTTTCTACAGTAGAACTACTGCTCCCAGAATCCCTTGCTGTGCCAACAAAGCACTGCCTATGAGATCGGTTCAGCACAGCAAGATTGGCTTGGTGATCTCGGCAAAGCTTTGCTCTGCAAACTCCATGAACAACTTGCTGAGCACTATGGGAAATAAAGTTCACAAAACTGCTCTAGGGGAAACTACAAAAGGGGGAGGGGAGGGAGGGCATAGACCCTGGTGAATCAATGGTCCCAATTACTCGCCCAACAAAACTTTTACTGCCCCTTCACTAAATGAGCCATTTCTTTATCCCCTCACTAAGCAAATGATTAGCAACAAAGGTAAGTAGAAAGACACCTACAGTTGTAATCAAAGTATTCAACCCCTGTTGAAGATCAGGTTTGTTGTCAAAATTTCGACTTTCAGCTGTTTGCAACGAACAAATCTAACACGCTATCGAAATTACAAGTGGCATTTACAGTTGACTTTGGGGAAACCACTAGAAGCATTGCATGTGTTGAGCTATACTGCCGTAGCTTCTGTTTGCTTTGCTCTTTGCAAAAAGCTGAAAGTCCGTAAATGTTGACATTGAAGCCGACTTTCAATGGGGGTTTTAATAATGTTGATTACAACTGTACCCCTGCATGAATTTTGTATTCAGAAATACATTCGCTCCATGATCCTTCAGGAATACTAGTAAGTTCACTGCCTGTGCAGAGAAACATGGTACAGGTGTATGTGTTCTCGTGTATTCTGCTCCTAGTGTGTGCATGGCATTGTTGGAGTAATTTACATGGCATGCCCTGGGTGTGCCAGGACAGGCCGATATACAATGTAAATTACAAAATAAATTGGAATTAAACAAATTTGCATTCTTTTAGTTACCTATTGGCTTGTGGGGGTGCAAAACCTTTAAACTCATAACAATTATGATTTTAAGAAACTATGTAAAACAAATATTTAATTTATTCCCCCCACCCCCACCCCTCCCTTTGGTATTTGACAATATGAAAATGGTGAGTTATTACACCAAATGTTTAGTGTCCTGGGTACTATATATTGCCCAATATTCCCTCACTGTGCAGAGAACAAGATTTAAGAAAGGATGTTACCTTCTGTAGCGCGTCCCTCTCAGTGCTGCCATGTTTAAATTCCAAGATTGGCTCATTCTTTACTTCCGCCGCCGCACAGTGATGCCACCGGAGTCTGAAAATGAAAAACCTCGGATGTTAGACGTTACTGGGATCTTGGGTTATACCCTTGTTGGAAACTTCGCAAAGAACTGGGGAGGACAATAAACTGTAGGTATTGCAGGGGGTGTTTTACTGTACTTCTGTTAAGTAAAACAATACCCCTTATCTTCTCCCCATGCCCTCAGTCAATATCCTGTGAAGTCAGTCACATAGAAGAGACCTCACCATTTCAGTTTTGTCAGTTTAGCTTTTTGACTATGGTGCAAATTACCCCATAAATGCATCCAATTGCAATAGTAGACTGTTACGGCATATACTGTATTTCATGTCGTTATAGTACAGCCTATTTTTATTTTATTTCATCAATTCAAAGTTTGTATTTTGTCTTGGCGGAAGAGATAGGGTTACCCAGGAGATGCACTACAGATCATTAACTTCTATATTTTACAGACTCTCACAACAAGGCTACGCTAAATGCGATCTTCTAATGAGTGAATGACACTGGTTTCCTTTAATAAAAATAATGCTGATTTCACGGTAAATGGACTGATCATGTGGATTCTTGTTTCACTGATCCAGCATGGATGGATCTGATATAACCATACGGCTGTTTTTTTTTTTAAACTTTTTATTTAGTATCTTTCTACAGAGAGGCGATGGTTTGGGGTCTTCATGGGCCCCCCTATACTGTATGGAAGGATTAGTGGGTTGCTGGGGATTTTTGCGGCCATTGCAGTCTAAAAGTAACACTTTAACAATGCTTATTATCTGGACATTGGCCGTAGATCCAGTGTTTGGTTAACGATTACATGGTGACCCTGTAACCTGCTGTTTGTGTAAAATCCTTGCCCGCCCTGTCTGCACACACGATCTACAATAGGTGACACAGCTGTTAAACTCTCACAGCCTTCTTCACTAAAGGGTGAAACGTTACACTGGAGAAATTCTGTCACCCACATTTTCAGTCTTTCTGAGAGTGAGTGCTGTACGTTACCAGTGAGATCTGTGTGTCCTGAAGGATATCAATGTGTGTGTATGTGCACTAACGAGACCAACCTGCAATTGTGGGATTGTTCAGGAGTTAAATCAGTTGCTCATCAGTCAAGTCATCAAATGTTAAGTGAATAAATCCCATTAATATTGCTAGGTAAGTGAGAATTCAGTAGATCAGTTTATCATGGGCCTCTGCACTTTGCTGCTATCTTGGTTTTCAAACCTTGTAAGGTATCTTATCAAAGCATTCAATCCCAAGTGAAGGGCATCTTACCCTAGACAAATTAAACCTTCAAACCTCTGGGAAGTAGGGCAACAGGTAGTGGGGGAATAATAGCGGGGGTCTATAATGAGAGGGGCAGCAGGCAGTGGTGGAGGTACTAGGGCAGTGGGGGAGGCAGCAGGCTGTAGAGGGAGATTAGGGGCAGCAGACAGTGGGGGAGGTATTTAGAGGGGAGATGTGGGGCAGTGGTGGAGGTACAGGAGGTGTATAGGGGGGGCAATGGGGGTGTATAATACACGGGGTGGGGTGTATAGGGCAGGTGGTGGAGGTATACGGGGCAGTGGTGGAATGCCTGTGTAGGTGGGGTGTATTGGGGTGTGGGGAGTATTGGGGCAGTGGTGGAGGTATTGGGGGCAGTGGTGGAGGTATTGGGGCAGTGGTGGAGGTATTGGGGCAGTGGTGGAATGCCTGTGTAGGTGGGGTGGGCGGGGGCAGGGGGGGGTGGCTGGGGGGCAGTGGTGGAGGTGGTTGGGGGCAGTGGTGGAGGTATTGGGGGGCAGTGGAGGTATTGGGGGGCAGTGGTGGAAATGCCTGTGTAGGTGGGGTGTATTGGGGGAGGCATGGGGGCAGTGGTGGAATGCCTGTGTAGGTGGGGTGTATAGGGGGTATTGGTGGAGGTACTGGGGGTGTATTGGGGGTACTGGGGGCAGTGGTGGAATGCCTGTGTAGGTGGGGTGTATAGGGGGTATTGGTGGAGGTACTGGGGGTGTATTGGGGACAGTGGTGGAATGCCTGTGTAGGTGGGGTGTATTTGGGGGGGTATTGGGGGGCAGTGGTGGAGGTATTGGGGGGGCAGTGGTGGAATGCCTGTTTAGGTAGGTGGGGGTTCTCACCCTGGCCGCCGGCAGAGGCTGAATATCTTCCTGAGTTGCAGCATGATGTCTGACCGACCCGAATCACCGAGCTCTCACTGGGGGCGGGGCTTACTGCAGCAAATGTAACACGACCTCCTATTGGCTGCGGCTCAGCCCCGCCCCCAGCAAAGTGATCTGGTAACAAGTATCCAAATACAGAATCCCTGGCAGCTCCTCAACTTTATATATTACACTGTGTATAATAATAACCCCCCCCATTATATAATAACCCCCCACCCCCTCCCAGTGTATTATATAATAACCCCCACTATATAATATCCCCCACCCCCAGTGTATTATATAATATCCCCCACCCCCAGTGTATTATATATATACCCACCCCTGTGTATTATATAAACCCCACCCCTGTGTATTATATATCAACCCCCACCCCCGTGTGTATTATATAATAACCCCCATTATATTATATCCCCAGTGTATTATATATAATATCCCCACCCCTGTGTGTATTATATAATAACCCCACCCCCAGTGTATTATATAATAACCCCATTATATAATATCCCCACCCCCCGTATTATATAATATCCCCACCCCCGTGTATTATATAACATCCCCACCTGTGTATATATATATCCCCCACCCCCAGTGTATATATAATAACCCCACCCCTGTGTATTATATAATAACCCCCATTATATTATATCCCCCAGTGTATTATATAATATCCCCACCCCCTGTGTATTATATAATAACCCCCATTATATAACCCCCACCCCCAGTGTAATATATCCCCCACCCCAGTGTATTATATACATCCCCCACCCCAGTGTATTATATAATATCCCCCACCCCCTGTGTTATATAATAACAACCCCATTATATTATATCCCCAGTGTATTATATATACCCCAGTATATAATATCCCCCACCCCAGTGTATTATATAATAACCCCATTATATTATATCCCCCAGTGTATTATATAATATCCCACCCCCCTGTGTATTATATAATAACCCCCATTATATTATATCCCCAGTGTATTATATAATATCCCCACCCCTGTGTATTATATAATAACCCCATTATATTATATCCCCAGTGTATTATATAATAACCCCCACCCCAGTGTATTATATAATAACCCCATTATATAATACCCCACCCCAGTGTATTATATAATAACCCCCATTATATAATACCCACCCCCCCAGTGTATTATATAATAACCCCCCCCCCATTATATTATATCCCCCACCCCCAGTGTATAGTATAGGAGCACTGTGTATAGAATGTAATATTGGTGCTGGGTGTAGCATAGTAGCATTGTGTGTGTGTGTGTATATAGAATGTAATATTGGGGCTGGGGGTAGTATAGGAGCAGTGTGTATAGAATGTAATATTGGGGCTGGGTGCACCTTGCCTGCCACAAACTTTGCATCTCATTTCACTGAGAAGATCTCTACAATCAGGAAAGAGATCTCTCTCCTACCTGTATCAATACATCACCCAACCCCACTCCCCCTGCCATCCTAAACTCATTTGCACCTGCTACAGCACAAAAGGTTTCTGCTCTGCTCCTGTCCTCCCGCCCCACCACCTGCTCCCTCGATCCTATTCCCTCGCATCTCATCTGCACTTTGTCTCCCTCTCTTGCTCTTCCCCTCGCTAACATTTTCAATCTCTCCCTTTCCTCTGGCACATTTCCCTCTGCCTTCAAACATGCAACCGTAACCCCAATTCTGAAAAAGCCCAACCTTGATCCCAACTCCCCATCCAACTACCGCCCTATCTCGCTACTGCCATTTGCCTCCAAGAGTTGTCTACGCCAGATTGACAGACTTTCTTGAATCCAACTCTCTGCTTGACCCCCTTCAGTCTGGACTCCGCGCTGGTCACTCTGTCGAAACTGCTGTGACCAAAGTATCCAACGATTTAATTGCTGCTAAATCTCTCGGCCAATAATCTATCCTAATCCTCTTTGATCTTTCTGCCGCCTTTGACACTGTTGATCATCAACAGCTTCTTCACATTCTCCGTAACTTTGGTCTACGGGATACTGCTCTCTCTTGGTGCTCCTCCTACCTCTCCCAGCGCTCTTTCAGTGTTTCTTTCTCTGCCTCTTCTCCCCAACCCCTCTCTGTCGGCTTCCCCCAAGGTTCTGTCCTCGGCTCCCTACTGTTCTCTATCTATACTGCCTCCCTTGGTAAACTCATCAGCTCCTTTGGCGTCCAATACCATTTCTATGCAGGTGACATGCAAATCTACCTGTCCTCCCCTGATCGCTCTCCGCCCACCTTGACTCGTGTTTCTGACTGCCTCTCTATTTCCAACTGGATGGCTGCTCACTTCCTTAAACTCAACCTGTCCAAAACAGAACTTCTAGTTTTTCCTCCCTCAAGTGCTGTTACTCCTGTGTCTGTCTCCATCCAAGTCAATGGCGCTACTATCCCCTCTACCTCCCAGCCTCGCTGTCTAGGGGTTCTTTTTGATTCTGATCTTTTACTCCCCATGTCCAATCGATAACCAAATCCTGTCGCTTCCAACTCAAGAACATAGCGTGCATCCGCCCATATCGAATGCCGGACGCGGCTAACGTACTGGTTCATGCTGTTGTTCTCTCTCGCCTTGACTATTGCAATCCCCTTCTCACCGGTCTTACATGTTCCCAGCTTGCACCGCTGCAATCTATAATGAATGCGGCTGCGAGGCTTATTTTCCTGTCCGGTCGCACCTCCCACGCCTCCACGCTCTCAGTCCCTGCATTGGCTTCCAGTTAGATATAGGGCCCAATTCAAAATTCTGGCGCTTGCTTACAAATCCCTACATAATGCTGCTCCAACATGCCTATCCTCTGCCCGGATCCCGACCTCTGATGCTCGCCTTCAAGACTTCTCCAGGGCTGCACCTATTCTGTGGAACTCCCTTCCCTCCTCAATCAGACTTTCAGTCAGACTCCACTCCTTCAAAAAAATCTTTGAAAACTCACTTCTTCATTAAAGCATATCAATTAAACTGTCAGCAGGTTTCTCATCCCCCACCCCATGACTCCGTTTCTGCAACTGTCAAAAATGACCTACCGAGCACTCAATAAACCCTTCTGTAACAAACTATTTAATTCCCCTACTTTAATCCTTTGTGTCACTATACCTCACTCCCTCTAGCATGTAAGCTCATCGAGCAGGGCCCTCAACCCCCTCTGTTCCTGTAGGTCAGCAGTCTGATCTCAATTATGTGTTTGTTCGTTCACCCATTGTACAACGCTACAGAATTAGTTGGCGCTATATAAATAATATAATATTGGGGCTGGGTGTAATATAGTAGAAGTGTGTATAATATTGGTGCAGGGTGTAATATAGGAGCAGTGTGTATTATATATAGGGGCTGGGTGTAATGTGTGTATGTAATATATAGGAGCAGTGTGTAATATATAGATATAGATATAGATATGGGTGTAATGTGTGTGTGTGTGTGTGTGTGTGTGTGTGTGTATATATGTAATATAGGAGCAGTGTGTATAATATTGGGGCTGGGTGTAATATAGGAGCAGTGTGTATAATATTGGGGCTGGGTGTAATATAGGAGCAGTGTGTATTATATATAGGGGCTGGGTGTAATGTGTGTATGTAATATATAGGAGCAGTGTGTAATGTATATGTATATGTATATGTGTGTGTGTAATGGGGCTGGGTGTAATATAGGAGCAGTGTGTATAATATTGGGGCTGGGTGTAATATAGGAGCAGTGTGTAATATAATATATATATATATATATATATATATATATATATATATATATATATATATATATATATATATATATATATATATATATTGTATATATGCATGCAGTGTGTATAATATTGGTGCAGTGTGTGTATAATTATTTTTCTTGTTACAATGTATCTAGTGACAGCTCCTGTAATATTGCAGCCAATCAGGAAGCTCCTTTCATCCTTCTCTCATTGAGCTAGAAATAAATGGTCGGACTGTACCATTCCCTTGCCGGGGGGGGGGATTTACTTTAATAGTCGGGTTTTTTATGGTTCCGTGGCGGTTTCGCCGCCCTCTCTCTCGGTTTGTGCGGATAGTGAAGGGGTTGTCATAGTAACGGCATAAAACCAGCTATTCCATAAAATATCCATTATCTCATCTGAACCCTGCGGGAATGGTCCGGCCGAGGGCGTGGCAGGGGACGGTAGTAAACTGTCCAATCATGGAGCAGCGTGGAGATATTCTGTCCAATCAGTGTGTGTTGTGGGAGACGCCTACAAGAATGCAGCCAGTCCGATGACGTCATAAAATAGGCGGGGTTAACTCAGCACGTGGTGAGACTATTAGATTGCCCTGCCTTCTATAATAACTGATACATTATATAATAACTGATACATTGTATAATAACTGACACTGATACATTGTATAATAACTGATACACTATATAATCACTGATACACTATATAATCACTGATACACTATATAATCACTGATACACTATATAATCACTGATATATTATAACTGATGTATAATAACTGATGTATAATAACTGATGTATAATAACTGATGTATAATAACTGATGTATAATAACTGATGTATTATATCACTGATATAGTATATCACTGATACATTATATCACTGATTTATAATAACTGATATATTATCACTGATGCATTATATAATATATTATCACTGATACATTGTATAATTGATATATTATATCATAACTGATATATTATATCATAACTGATATATTGTATCATCACTGATATATTGTATAATCTAATCACTGATATATCTGATATAATATAATCACTGATATAATATAATCACTGATATAATATAATCACTGATATAATATAATCACTGATATATCAGTTATTATAGAATGCAATTATATATTATAATTGATATATTATAGCTGCCTTATAAAATAAATGCTATAATATAAGTTATATAATAAGTGATAGCTGATATAACTGCCTTGTTGTCATGGCACAAGGGGCTATGATCGACGCAGCTGCGCCAATACTTCTAATAAAAGTAAGTCCCTGGTCGGCACAGCCGCACATAAGCAGGGTGGTCGCGCCGAAATGGGAAAAAAAATAACTAAATTACCTGGATCACGGCGGAGTTCTGACTGGTCCCAGCTGGTGCGGCAATCCAAGGGGACGCCAGCCGCTGCAGTC